CTGGAAATCAACAGGAGCCAGCCTCCTTAGGGAAAAAGGTTTCGTCGGAAAAATTCCTGTATACGTACCTCTCCTCTTACCCACGAGTACTTTGCTTTCCTCTGCTGAGCTGTCAAATACAGATCAGCAAGTTAGCGTCATCAGTGGATGTACACTGACATTTGAGCAAGCTATAAAACTCTATTACAGCAAACAATAAACCCACAAAAAACGTAATTCGCTGACTAGGAATTAGCAAACGTCCCAGTGCATCCCAACTTTGTTACCAAACAAACAGCAAAATTTCCGAATGCGCTCTAATCTAGCTGTTGTTTCGAAAGCGTACATACACGCAAGACGCTCTTGAGTGGAAATAGGCCCATACAGGGTTTGCGAGGCGCACTCCAATTTCCTCAAACTTTATCACCCGTCAATAAAGATCGTCGGGAACACTTATGTAGAAAACGCTCTATGCTTTTTGTTCCGGCTCGATGGGGGAGGGAGGGGAGGGGCGGCTATAGTACTTGTGCCAACTATTCCTAGAAAGGGGGGGGGGACTACCGACACAGCCAGAGAGTTTGACTTTTCACGGACGAGTGATTTTTCGGTGTGAATTTCCAATGTAATTAAGCGTATCCAATATAATTATTTGTCTTGACGTCTTCTCATTATCGCATCTGTATGAGGATGAGAAATAATGTGTATATAATGTGTAAATAATGTGTATCAAACTGAGTGTGTGCCTGCAAATGTGTCACTAAAATTCGGAACGCTGTTCGACTCAAGAGGTATAGAACTGAGGAGTGGATTTGTTGCACCGCAAGATCCTTCAACTGGATCCCGCGCGCACTTGTTGACCCGACTTGCGTACTCGAGATATCAGCGGAAAACAAATGAGAGCATTTCTGTTATTATTATTTCTTCGAGATCACCCTAAAGGATACTTTGACAGCTAAGAATGGTGGCGTTTCGTCATCAACACCCTAAATGAGACCAGAATCCTTGATTTGTACCTAAGACGACGAGCATTCCGACCTTTTCATATAGGAATCCCCCCTGGGTTTCGAACACCGCGCTGTCCAAGGCCATTTTACAGTCGCTTGCACCGTGTCAGATCAAGTAATTATTCTTTGGATTTCTGACGCAAGTACTTAATACCTTACCGCAGAAATGATCTACATTGAATAGATTTTCGCGTTTTATATATGGAAGCTAATTGTATAAATAGTTCATTTCCCATAGGTGTCCGCTTATACAGGGTTAATCGTACTCGATTGCCGAAACTGAGAAGATATTGAAAATCACAAAATTGATGAGCTGTATCAATTTTCGAATTATGATTCAAGCCGTGATTAAAAGTTTTGGACGATCAACAGACAAGAGAATTGCATGAGGAGAATTCGAACGACGCGTTTCGGTATTATTTATACAGTATTGTAAATAAATACTTCAAAGATGAATACGGACATGGCAGAATGATTTGAACAAAATAGTTGATAAATAGAGAAAAAAAGACATTACACAAGACTGGGAGTTCAGCAGTCACTAATATCGCCTTGGAAAGGGAAGAAAAAAAAATAGAAAAAAAAGTTATTACAACACGGGGTACCCGTATTTGGTAACCTATCCAAGCAGGAACCCGGCCGAACAGGGCTTTAACTTTGTTGAGCGGACGAGACGCGGTGCTGTCGTTGTGGTATTATGACTCTGCGTTGGATAATTTTTTTTACTTCTAAGATCTCTGTAATGGTAACAAAGAAAGAAAAAAATCACTGATATCGCCTGGGAAAACAAAGAACGAAAAAAGTAGGAATGAAAATGAGAATCCGATTATACTTGTTTTGCTGATCGGACAAGAAGCCGTAATTTCTTTATCATTGACTTAGACGAGGATCACCAGTAACTTCATGAATGTTTTCAAAGGTGTTACGTCTCCTCTCGTGTATTCTCGTACCGTTTCGTTTTGCCAGTGTGCTTTAACTTTAAAATTGTCACTGTTTACAGATGATCCATTTTCCAAGTTGAGTGGCTAATAGCCACTTTGATTCTTATTACGCTTTATTTAATGTCACTCTCGACGGACCAAACGAAAGAGGGACTACTCGTAGTCTAACCATTCCTAGAGATAGTAATTATTATCTTGTGTTATGTTGGTAAGTTTTTTCCTGATGCGATTAATAGAAAATAAAGACTAGAAAGCGAAGTTCGATAGAGATAGTGAGATAGTGAAGATGCTGATTAAGATCACAGTAACCCAGTGATAAAACTGCCTCCTGGAAATTAACACAAACCCCCAATGAGGTTACCAAATTTCTTTCTACCTACCTCTCCATGCTACCCGATGCTTTTTGTCCTTCTATCGCGGTTTCTGTATGCAAGACTGAATAATTAGGTTTCAGCCGCACTGATTGCGGGTGGCAAGCCCAATAATTATTCATTTTCTTCTCGGACTTTTCAGGGGTACTATATCGCAATTCTTCCACGTCTTTCTTCAATGCGTTAAATTCCGCTTTCAGTGAACGGACCTCTTCCTTGTCACCAGCAGCGGTAAGTTTTACTTCTTCTAGCTGTTTTTGCAGCGCTGCTACGTCTTTCTTCAGTGCCATATTTTCCACCTCAAGCTTTTTCGCCGACAGTTTGAGGTCGCTTATTTCTTCGCTATTGCCATCCAGTAACATTTTCATGGATTCTTTATCGGTTTGCAATTCTTCAATTTGACCTTCCACTGCCTCAAGCTCCTTCAATCGCTCTGTTGTCCTTAGGAGCTTAGACCATGTTTTTCTCAGATGCTCCTCATTCGAGGTCTCAAGATGATCATTCAAATTACTCCTTTGGTCCTATGAAGCATTAAAAGAACTATTGAATTAACTTTTCATGTGAGATCAAGTATTTTGGAGAACCCCGGGTAACGTTCCCCCCAGAAAATACTTAAGTACCTCGAAAAACGTACGTTAAGTACAGGAAATTGAAAAAAAATATAATAATGGCTTTCTCATCAATTTAGTGGCCTTCTTTAGTCAATCTTGGCCATTGAATATGATCATCAACAACCCACTCGCTGAAGCGGTCATCGAAACTTTTGACTTGACTACACATTTTCTTAATAAGCACCAACTCTTTTCGCTTATATTTTGTGTCAGCCCGGCTTTCTTATTGTTCAGGTGTACAGTGAAACTTGTGTTAAGCGGACACCCTTGGGACACTCACTAGTGTCCGCTTAATACAGGGTGTCCGTTCTAAACAGGTTCCGATATATTGTGAAATAATAGTTGATTACTAACTCTTTTGAAAAAAAGCTGCTTTGTAGCATCGCTGAACAATGTTAAAAGAGTCCGAGGTGAGCTTTTAGAAGTAAAAAGCTCTTGAAATGTCCGGTTATTGCAGGTTTTGTGCGACAAAATTGCTTAATATTCGTGTCCGCGTCCGCTTAACAGAGGGGTCCAGGTTTATTTTACAGTACATATGTGAAGAAAATTTAGGGACTCAAGCAGATTTCCACTTAATAGAGGGTGTTCGCTTAATAAGAGGTCCACATAAAAAGCCATTCCCTCTTGACTTGACTTGATCTCATCTGAGTGCCAAGCCTTGACAATTGCGTTCGCTTCCAAAAGTCTGTTGAAACTGTTGTCTCTGTTGAAAGTGTAGCTCTTTAGCGAACTGAATTTAAAATATCCGTCGTTTACACAGCGAATTCGGATAACAGAGCCAGAACAGCGTTAAAAATTAAACCAAGAGACCATAGTCTCTGGCACCAATTCCACTGAAAATGAAGAATTACTTAACATTACTTAAAAAGACGGTACGCGTCATATCGGAAGTAGCTGATTGCCGTTTAGTACTTAAAAATAACTCACATCGTTTTATTGTAAACATGATATATTATCGGGTAATTAGGTCTTAAGGAAAAATATGTTCAACTAGACAATCTCGCACTCTGAGCAATCGTGTTAGAACGGTTTTCAATTCAATGTGAAAGTTACTCCTATTTTTAATTTAGTTCTGCTTTACGACGCTTTGAGCAGTTTTTGTGTCGAATGTAATTCGCAATTACTTTGGTTTTGCATTACTACACTGAGCGACGGGCTAAAAAAGACTCGATCACTTTGTTAACCAATCAAAAGTGAAACAAAACTGACCAATCGTGACTTGCTCGCTCACGTTTTCTCGCGCTTCACGTCAGCGACATGTATTTCCTTCAAGTTTTGATTGCTTCACTAGCCATGGGTTGTGTGTCCTTTGTGATTGCCCAGAGTAATTGCTTTGGGTTCCCTAAGATTCCCGACAATTTCTCAACCAATCAGAGCTTAAACCAAAACCAACGGTAACTCGGTCTCAAAGGTTTTGCGGCGATTTGCGCCGGCTTCATGTATATTTACTTTGTGTTTTTACTTGATTCAGTGTCTTTCCTTTGTGATTGGTTAGGTGGATCATTTCAACGACAAAGTGAATACCAAACCGCAATATTATCACGTAACTTACATGGAACGTACATCCAGCTTCCTCGTAAGGACAGTGCACCATAGTCATCAGACAATCGTCCCTCACGTGGGACTCCACCTGAAAAAAACAACATGCATGTTTCTGATTGTCGGTCTCGTAAGAAGGATTGGAAACGTTGTCGGATCGTCGCTCAGCTAATGTGTGTCAATTATTAGTAATAAGACTCACCACGACAACTTTGTCACAACTGAATGAAAATAGATATCATAGCTAAAATCAAATCTTGTTGAACGCTGATGAGTTTTCGAGATTCTGCAAGCCAGAGAGAAGTCCTTGTGCGTGTTACCTAAGTTGCTGAAATAGGTCACGTTCGATATAAACAATAGCCTCCATTTGGCGCGAAAATATCCTTGGATATTTGTCCGCGGACATTATTTGTTCCGAGAAGTGAACTGTGAGCTTCGAGGAACAGATAATGTCCAAGGACAAATATCCGAGCATATTTTCGCCCAAAATGGAGGCTAGTGTGTTTATTGTTCTTCAAATCTAGCTGAGGAATATTCGGTCACGTGACGTGTTTAGACCAATCGCGCGCGAGGGGAAATATTTGATGGATTATAATTACTATTAGTATAATTTCCAGAGGTGAATATAAGGATTGGACATTCTGATTGGTCGAAAAGCTCATCATATGACGCTATATTCACCCCGCTAGAGCTTAGTT